CGCCTCCCTGTTTGGGCATATGCATGTTCGGCCAGCATTGAGCCTCCAGGCTCGTTGCCATTTGTAGTACCCTTCTTCTCGCTTCCACTACCCACGAGTGTGTTCCTTCGCGTTGTGTTATTATCCCATTTCCTTCTGCTCTTGCTCCTCCTTCTCCTAACTCTACCTGCCCGCCCATCCTCTTCGCTTCTTCGCATCATCAGCATCATCTTTAACCTCATCATCAGCCTCATCATCATCAACCACAACATCATCAGCCTACTAATCCTCTGTATCATCATCGTCATCATCAGCATCATCAGCATAATCATCATCACCAGCAGTACTCACATCATCGTCATCATCATCGTCGTCATCACCACCATCATCATCATCATCATCATCATCATCATCATCATCAACATCATCGTCAACATCAACATCATCGAGAACATTGTAACCATCGCCTCGCCGTGACTCCTCACTGTTCCCCTCACCTTTCCTCCTGTTCCTCGCGCGTGTTGCTCCTTTTCCCTTTTTTCTTCTTCCTCCTCGTCTTCTTCCATCCTCGCTCCTCGTACTCCTCACTTTGCGTTCCTCCTAGCTTTTCGCGTCTTACTTCCCGCTCGCTCTCGTTCCAGGCGCTGCGGCAGGCTTGGGCGACCATGTTTGGCCAGCAGGACCTGTTTCGGAGGAATGTCGGTGGGCCCGTGGGTTCCATGAAGCTATCCCTGTCCAGGATCGCGTGGGTCATGAAGGATCCGGCCATGCTTACTAATGACCTCGGCCAGTATATATAGCTCTCCCCGTCAAGTCGACAGGGTTCTTCAAGAAGTTGCTCTGAGAAGGGGGGGTCCGGGATCCCCTGCTCGCTCTGCCAACTAGGGTTTAGGCAAGCAGGGTAGGCGTTGCTTCGATGTCATGAATCCGCCGCCGCGTCTTCCAAATTTTCGGCCCTCCAGAGGGCCAGTGTAAAGGCTGTGTTGTGCGGGGCCTTCTGGACCAGGGACAGAGCTGCTTCCCTCGGATACCAATGTGACATGATGTGTGATATTTGCGGTGAGCTTGACTGGCAGTTTCGCAAGATCTGGCAGTGCAGGTCGTGTGAGGCCTAGCGAGGGTCCCTTGTCAAGCCTTGGAATCTGGAGGCCTCTGGGGAGACCAACGTTGACCTGTTCACTGGAGGGCGCTTCCAGCCACTCTGGTCATCCAGTCCCCCCCTCACCGACGAGGGAGTGCTGCTCGACTGGCACAGCGGCTGCGGCAGATCGGGGCGTCGTCGCCTTCGTCGTCGCCTTCGTCGTCGTCGTCGTCGTCTTCGTCGTCGTCGTCGTCTTCGGCTTCGTCGTCGTCGTCGTCGAAGATATTGGAACATGTGGCTGAAGGCCACGTCTACATGGACGGTCCGCGCTCTGAGAGCCCAGTCGTGGAGCCCACGGTGCGGGTCGGGCCTCTCGGCCGCCAGCCCAGATGGCACGCGCTCGTCTCTGTTGTGGCCGCGCCGGCCTGGAGCCCGACGCCCTCCGACCAGACAGGCCAGTGATGGCGAGTATTCTGCGTTGGGGGGGAGCGCAGTGTTGCTCCCTGGCGGCCCACGCCATTTGTAAACTGCCAGTTTCGATGTTTTCAAGCAGTATGCCCACTGTTCATGGCTACGTCTTCGAAGGTTATTTGATTTTTTTGGGGGGCAAAGATCCTGTCATTTCTAGTTGTTCTATCCTAGGCCTCTTTCCTGGAACAACTAGAAAGGAACACAATTCGAACTGAGCACGATTAGAAATGAATGACGTGTACACTGGCTGTTACAATGTTCTCAAGCAGTACAACGCTGCTGCTGTCTCCGAGCAAGTCGGCCACAGGCTGGTGGACAGTGGCATCGTCCTTCAGGCTCTGTCTCAGGAGCATGTGTGCAGGAGCCTTGTGAAGGTGTAGGCTCACTGGTACATCGATGACGCCGTGGACGTTGCTGGGCTGAGCATGTCTTGTGTATCGGTAATCACATGGTTGACGCTGCCGCCAAGAGAGGGCCGACCAACTCCTCCAGGCAGAGTCGAATGTCAAAGACGTTTTTGTTGTTCTATCCGCGTTGTCCAGGCCGTGGCAAACCTGGCAGCTAATCTTCTCCCGCATTGGCCGCGTCTCGACCTTGACGGGGTTCGAGCGCTCTGATCGGCCTCCCCTCCAGGTAGAGACAGCCACGAGTGGGCCACGGCGCATGGTGGGGCTTTGCAATGTGTGCGCTGTCTGAGGGGGAGGCCCAGTCGGGTTAATGAGCTTGGTTGGCAGCATGGTTTTGAGCTTCTCCCCGGCGCCTGTCTCAGGCATTGCAGGATCCAGCTCGAGACACTCTGTCCGCGTTGGGTCGTGCCTGTTGGGTCGTCGACTGCTCGGACGACCCCTTTGCTTTTGTTTCTGTCGGACGTGTGTGTGTGTGTGTGTGTGTGTGTTTGTGTGTGTGTGCTGGACCGCTGGCTCGAGGGCTGTCCACGTGGCCTCGGCCTGCCAGGGCCCGCCGCTCCCCCTCCGAGGGCAGGCCTCGGACACCCGACTCGTGGCTCCGGCTGCGCAGGGGGCCTTCACCCGACGAGGCCTCGGGTGATGGTGCTGGCGGGTCCGATGGCCGCGCCTTGTCAAGCCTTGCGGCCTCTCGCCTGGGGAGCTGCGCTGCTTGGAGGTCCCTCCGGGGCCCCGCTGCCCAGGCCCGAGGCCCCTCGGCGCTGCCCTCCGAGGCCCCGCTGCCCAGGCCCGGGGCCCCGCTGCCCAGGCCCGACAAGGGGGAGGGGGAGTAGTAGGAGGAGGAGGAGGAGGAGGAGGAGGAGGAGGGGGAGGAGGAGGAGGAGGGAAGATAAGGATGAGGTGGAGGAGGAAGAAGAGGGGGAGGAGGAGGAGGAGTAGGGGGGGGGGGGGAGGGGGAGGGGGAGGGGGGTAGGGGGAGGGGGGAGGGGAGGGGGAGGGGAGGGAGGAGGAGGAGGAGGAGGAGGAGGAAGGAGGAGGAGGAGGAGGATGAGGGAGGTGGAGGAGGAGGAGGGGGAGGAGGAGGAAGAGGTAGGGCACAGCGCTGAGGCGGCGGAGGAGGCAGGCCCCTCTCGCGCCGCCGGGGTGCTCTCCCTGCCGTCCCTGCTCCGGCCGAGCGCGGTCGGCCTTTTGCCGGGGGCGCCGGGCAGGGGCGCCGGGCGCCGGGCACGAGCGGCCGGGCCGCCGGCGGGCGCCCGGCGAGGAGGTCTCGTCCTCTCCGCGGGGCCCGCGGAGCCCCGGGGCAGCTCTAAAACGACACGAAGATCGGGGCAACATCGGATCGGGATAACTCGAAATCTCTGAGAATCGGCGGGTTTGGAGGAGGGCGCCGCGGCCGCTCCAGAGCGTTCTCGAACGCTCTGAGAGCGCTCCGGAGCGCTCTGGAGCGATTTATCCCGATCCTAGCCCTGTTTTCAGCTCACGGAGGTCAGGGCCGCCGACCGTTGTGCCTCCCGCAGTGGGGGCCCATGCCAAGAGTCGACCACACGAAAGAGTGACCTTTCGCCGGAGTGACCTGTGGTGCGGGTCACTTTGGGGTCCTCGATCGCCGAACGCGAGGCGGCAGTGGCGTCTTGCGCGCTCGCGTTTGGCCCCTCCCCCGCGGCACCCCAAAAGCCGCGCAGCAAAGGTCACTCTTACCCAGGGTCACTCTTACGTGTAGCCGACTCCTGCAGTGGGGCCCATGCCAAGGAGCACCCTTTTGCTTCCCCTCAAGACCCTGGGCTCCTCGGGTTTCGATGCTTCTGCGATGGAGAGAGGGACGCCCCCCAACACCACAAAGCAGTGGAGCTCCTGGGGTCTCAGGGCTGGGTTTCTCGTGGAAGCTCTCTTGTGGACTGGCCTCCACTGCATGACACAATGTCTTGTCGTATGTGCCTGCTGTACTGCTGTGGCAGTTGTAAACAAAAAGGCGACCTCGTCGTCAAGGGGAGGCTTCCCCGAACGGAGTTTCCCCGCCGCCCCCCGTCCCCTTGAGCTGTATGCGGCACCAACTTGGGAGAATTCGAAATTTGATCAGCAACCTAAGCTTTATCTGGGCTGTTGTGCGCACGTGTGTTGTGCTGGCACGAGTCACTGTTCCATTACCCAGAGTCCCCGCAGGCGGCGGACGAGGAGAAATACCGCGGCCGAATGGTCGTGACACGTCGCGTATTCCCACCAGCTCATCGCACATCTAGTCCTAGACGAGTTGCCTTTTTCAGGAAGACTGGAGTGGATTTGTGAAGCGCAGGGAACGAACGCCAGTGAGACCAAAGGATGGGTCTGCTCACTCAGTCCCCCAAGTGGGCGACTTGGAGGTTCTGGTGGCAACCTCTTGGAGCCTTCTCGGAGCTGCGTTGGGGCTCTCCGATGGGCGCTCCTCAGTGCGGGGTCTGACCCAGGGATCCGATGTCGTGATTTTTTCAGTACGGGGTCCCCGGAAGTCTCGGCCCATTCCCCAGGACCGGCTTGTCGTCCTGAGTCGTTTTCCGACGGTCCCGAGGCCTGGCGAGGGCCTCAGGGGGCCGAAAACGGCGAAACACCTCCGTCCTGATTTTTTCAACGCGCTGGACTCCTGGGGAGCTCTCCCGGGGGCCCTCCTGTGGGCCCCGACAGGGCTTCGGCGGTGCCACGCCAGAGACCAGCGGCCCCGAGGAGGCACTGGAGCCTGTTTTTTTTAGACCCTGGCAAGTTTACTTGCGTGGACGGGGTGGGGGGGGGCGAGCCTGGGGCAAGCCGCAAACGACTGGCACGTTCGGGGGGGGCGCGGAAATCGCGCAGGTCGAAAGGCACCTGCACGCCAGTATGCGCTTGAAGAGGGACGAGGGGGGGGGGGCCCTGTCGGGCCTCCTTTTTTGAAAAACCCGGCCCCTCTCCCCTCCTCCGAGGTATTCATTGGTCCCTGGTCCTCTCTCTTCCTCGGGGTCGGGTTCCCGAGGCCGCCGTCTGAGTGCCCGCACGGCCCTCGTGGGCTGCTGCGGCGCGCTCCGCGCCGCGGGCGCATGAGAAGACGCTGGCTGAGCGAGAAACGGCAGAAACGGCAGGGGGGGGGGGGGGGGCGAACGCCATGCAAGTAAACTTGCCTGAATCCCCCCCCAAAAAACAGGCTCCTGCAGATGGGCCGTGGGCGCCCCCGCTCCGGGCGCCCCCCCTCGGTGGCGGAGGGAGGGGAGAAAGGAGGAGGAGGAGGAGGAGGAGGAGGAGGAGGAGGAGGAGGAGGAAGGAAGGGAAGGAGGAAGAGGAAAGGAGGGAGGAAGGGAAGAGGAGGAGGAGGAGGAGGAGGAGGAGGAGGAGGAGGAGGAGGAGGAGGAGGAGGAGGAGGAGGAGGAGGAGGAGGAGGAGGAGGAGGAGGAGGAGGAGGAGGAAGGAGGAGGAGGCCCTGCAGATGGGCCGTGGGCGCCCCCGCTCCGGGCGCCCGGGAGGGCCGCCTCCCCGCGCGAGGGGACCCCTTCTCTCGGGGCTCTCCCTGGCCGCTCTCGGGTGCAAGACTGGTCTACTCTGTAAGAACGGTCTTTTGAAGGCAGAGATCTGCCTTCAAAAAACCGTTCTTACAGAGTCGACCAACTTTTTGAAGGCAGATCTGCCTTCAAAAAACCGTTCTTACAGAGCAGACCAATTTTTTGAAGGCAGATCTGCCTTCAAAAAACCGCTCTTACAGAGCAGACCGATTTTTTGAAGGCAGATCTGCCTTCAAAAAACCGCTCTTACAGAGCGGCCCCGAGGAGGCACTGGGCCGAGGGCGCCCCCCTCGGTGGCGGAGGGAGGGGAGAAAGGAGGAGGAGGACGAGGAGGAGGAGGAGGAGGAGGAGGAGGAGGAAGGAGGAAGGAGGAGGTGGAGGCTCTGGGCCGTGGGCGACCCCGATCCGGACGCCCCGCAGGCCGCCTCCCCGCGCGCGGGGACCCCCCTCTCGGGGCTCTCCCGGGCCCTCTCGGGGGGCCGCGGGCCACGGGGACCTGCGGCCGCCCCGGAGCCGCCACCCCTCCGACCTCGCGCCTCCTCCCTCCTCCTTCCGCCCCACCTCCTACCCCCCCTCCTCCTCATTCCTTCCTTTCGCCTACTCCTCCTCCTCCTCCTCCCCTCCTCCTCCTCCCTCCCCTCTCCTCCTCCTCATCCCCCTCCTCCCCCTCCTGCCCCCCCATTCCAGCCTCCGGCCCTCCGGAGGCCCAGATCCCCGGGGGAGGACCCTCTCGCCCCCCCCAGACCCCCTCGAGTAGCGAAAAAATCATGACGGGCGAGGTTTTTCCCAATTTTCGACCTCCGGGGGCCCTCACCGGGCCTCGGGAGCGTCAAAGAACGGCTCAGGATGAAAAACCGGTCATGGGGAAAGGGTCGGGACCTCTGGGGGTCGACGTAATGAAAAAATCATGACGTCGGGGGTCTGGGCCTTGCGTTGGGTCGGGCAGGGCCCCCTGCAGGTGGACTCTGAGGCCCAGATCCCCGGGGAGGACCCTCTCGCCCCCCCCAGACCCCCTCGAGTAGCGAAAAAATCATGACGGGCGAGGTTTTTCCCAATTTTCGACCTCCGGGGGCCCTCACCGGGCCTCGGGAGCGTCAAAGAACGGCTCAGGATGAAAAACCGGTCATGGGGAAAGGGTCGGGACCTCTGGGGGTCGACGTAATGAAAAAATCATGACGTCGGGGGTCTGGGCCTTGCGTTGGGTCGGGCAGGGCCCCCTGCAGGTGGACTCTGAGCCATGCTTAATCACGCTCAAGAGGCAGAATCGCCCCCTGCTCATTTTTGGACGGGTTTGAACGTTCCTCCTGTGGAGGGACAGGCCCGACTCAACCCGTGCGAGAGCGGGCCCGCCCGCGTCACCGCCCCCCCCTCTCCGCGACCCGAGCCGGGAGGCCCCTTCCGCGCCCGCAGTCCCGGCCTGGGCCGAGCAGTGCCCCCCAGGCCGATCTCGCCGAGCTCTTGGGGCGGGGGGTCCGCCCGCTCTTGAGGGGCGAGGTGTGGTCCTGGCCGGCTGGTCGGATCGAGCTCGGGCGTGTTGGTGTCCCGTTGTTGGCTTGCCCGGGGCCCTCCCGCTCGGCCGCTCGCCTGCTGCTTCTGCGCCTGGGAGCGGGGCGCGGAGCAGACGGCCAGAGGCTTCGTGGTGCCTGTGGAGGCGTCGGAGGCTTCGGGGCCTCAGGTGGAGGGGGCCTGTCTTCGGGATGCAATCGGCATTGGGGGCAAGCTCGGGACCTGCGAGAGGTCCAGCCGTTTCCCAGAGCCTCGCTCCTTGAAATGCTTGTCGCGCCGTGCGTTTTGCCGAGGCTGCACATGTCGGTGAAGCGCCTCGAGAGGGAGCTCAGCGGTAGCACGCTGAGCGAGGTCGCAATCGAGGACAGCTGGGCAGCCTGCCAAGTGCCGATGGCATATGTTGGCATGTCACTGTTTTCCCCAAGCGTGCTCAAGTGAGTGGAGAACCAAAAGGCGGTTGTATTCGTCCGTCCCCATCCAGGAGAAGTGGGAGTCCCTCCATAAGCGGAACGCAGACATGGTGTTCAATCACATCATGAAGCACCGCGGCTTCTTCATCAAGGTTTGCCCTTCGGCTGGTTGAGACTGGCCGATTCGTCGAGGCCCACGTCGATGTGGCCGTTATTGCAGTTATCAGTTAAAGACAACGCCCATCGCATGCTGCACCTCCCTCTCTTATCATTCCTCCTTTTCTTCCCCCATTATTCTTCCTCTTCCTCACCCGAGGATGTCTCGAGGGAAGGCAGCACCGAAGCAGGCCCGGCTATGCTTTGCCACTGCGGTGGAAGGCCCTCCACCTCCCCTCACTCGAGCCGTCCCCTCCGCCACTACCCCACCCCTCTCTCGCCTCCCTCACCTCACCCCATCACTGTTCCCTCCGCCCCTGTCCCCCCTCCCCCCCCCCCCTCCGCCCGCGCTCTCCCCTCCCCAACCTCCCCACGCCGACTTCGACGACGATCTCTGAGGGCTCTGGCCCCCCCGCGCTGGCCCTACAGGCCCCGCCCCTGGCGGTCCCGTGCGCGCGCCGCTTCACTCCGCTCCCTCGCTTTTCGGATTCCCCTTTACCTCCCTTTCACGCCTCCCTCACCTCGCGCCCCTCTTCCCAACGTTCGCTGGGCGACCCAGGGGCACAAGCGTGCGCCGGATGCGCCAGCTGTGCTTCGTTCTCCAGCAACGGCGGGTGCGCCACGCGCGACGGATGCGCCAGCGCACGTGCCAGCGCACGCGCGTGGCACCATGCAAAGTTTATATCGAGCATGTCCTCCGACAGGCGGATTTTGGAAGAAAAGTAACTTATTTTGAAGATATTCAAAATTATTCAAAAATAATCAACAATCATCCACGTATAGTCTGTTGTTTACACCATGTTCGAATTTTCCTCCTGCAGAGTGACGTGCCCGACTTAATGCAAAGTGGTGATCAGGCGGTCAGAGTTGTGTATGGTGTACGCAGCCGCCAGGAGTTTGCATGTGCTTTCGACGGATCGCGGGCCAGCGCACAGGGAAGCACATGATGACGCCCCCACAGCGCCCTTGCCAAAATCCGGTGCAAAGCGGTCGCGGAGTGCCCGCTCAACATGATCCAGATACCTTGCCGCCACGTTCACTTCGTATTATTTCTGACAGGGATTCCGGGGCAGGGGTTCATGATTCTTGGCTGGCGGCTGGTCGAGTTGGGGAGGGGGTGCAGATCAAGAAACAGCAGTAAGAGTAAACGCGCTAGACCACCTCAGTAAGCCCAGTGGGCTGGCGAGATTCGCCTGGATGATGAGGACCCGAGACGGAGAACGACATGCAGGGGATGGAGGAGGGGGAGGAGCAGCAGCAGCAGCAGCATTTTCAGCAGCAACAGTAAGATGATGTGAAGGCACAGCGCAGGAAAACGAGGAGGACCAAGGAGGATGAGGACAATGAAGAGGGATGAGAGGAGGATGAGGTGGATGAGGAGGAGGAGGAGGAGGAGGAGGAGGACGCCGACAATGAGATGCACGTTGGAGATTTAGATGGTAGAACAGTCGAATGGGGAGGAGAATTGATGAGGAGCAGGACGGGCAATATGAGGAGGAGGAAGAGGAGAAGGAGGGCAAGCAGGATGGCGAGGGCAAAGCTGGCGGGAGGAAGGGGGCGGCCACGACTCTGAGTACCAGGACGAGGATAACGAGGATTAGTGAGGCTCGCAGGACCGCGAGGATAACGAGGATTATAACGAGGACGAGGATAACGAGGATAACGAGGATAACGAGGACGAGGATAACGAGGACGAGGATAACGAGGACGAGGATAACGAGGATAACGAGGATCGCGTTGACCTGCTTGACCAGGACGTGGCGCGTGCATCGAAGCGAAAGAGAGGGATAATGCTGGGGCAGCGACGGGGCGTTTCCAACTCCGACGTGTGGAGGGACATCTAAACCCGCTTCCTCCTCCTCCTCCCCCTCTTCCTCCTCCCCTTCCTCCTCCTCCTCCTCCTCCTCTCCTCCTCTTCCTCCTCCTCTTCCTCCTTCTCCTCCTCCTCCTCCTCCTCCTCCTCCTCCTCCTCCTCCCCTTCCGCCTCGTGCTTCCTGGAGAGCCCACCGTGATCTTGCCGTGGCTGGCCACCACCACAAAGCCCCAGGCCAGGAAGTTTCAGAGCCCCGAATCATCAGGGGTAACTCGGGTCAGGGATAACTCGGGTTCGTTTTTCGGGGATCCAAGCCCGAGTTACCCCGGACCCGAGTTACCCCGGATAATTCGGGCGTCCAGAGCCCCGAATCATCAGGGGTAACTCGGGTCAGGGATAACTCGGGTTCGTTTTTCGGGAATCAAGACCCCGGATAATTCGGGCGTCCAGAGCCCCGAATCATCAGGGGTAACTCGGGTTTTCGGGAATCCAAACCCGAGTTACCCCGGACCTGAGTTACCCCGGATAATTCGGGCGTCCAGAGCCCCGAATCATCAGGGGTAACTCGGGTCAGGGATAACTCGGGTTCGTTTTTCGGGAATCCAAGCCCGAGTTACCCCGGACCCGAGTTACCCCGGATAGTTCGGGCGTCCAGAGCCCCGAATCATCAGGGGTAACTCGGGTCAGGGATAACTCGGGTTCGTTTTTCGGGAATCCAAAACCGAGTTACCCCGGACCCGAGTTACCCCGGATAATTCGGGCGCCCAAACAAAGCCCCAGGCCAGGAAGTTCCTTGTCACAGTGCTGCGCCGGTCCAGGCTTACCAGGTGCACACCCACTGCATGACGCACAATCAGTTGGATCGGTCGGAGAGGCTCACCCTGCGTGCGCATCACCACCTCTCGCGCTTGAGCTTTAGTCAACACCGGCTTCCTGACAGTGCGCTGGCCGTTCAGATGATAGCATCAGCCAGGGTATCCTGGGGCTCCTGCGGTTGTTGACGAGACAGCGTCGCTCTACACATGGACTGGAGATCCTCCGCCTGCCGTCCTCTTATGAGTTGTCGGAGTTGCCCGCCTGGACCCCCCCTTGCTCGATCAGCCAGGCGGGGCGTCCCAGGCGGGCCAAAGGCGACTCCCAGGCCTTGCATCCATCCGTGGTTAGGATCGGGAAATCATCGTCTTTTCCTTCTTCGCCTCCTCCTCCTCCTCCTCCTCCTCGTCCTCCCCCTGTACTCGCGCTGATCGCGGCCGCCATGGCCGGCGAGGCACGCCAGAGGCCCCCAAGCTGGGGCCCTTTGGGGCCGACTTGGGGGCCGCTTCTCTTGCCCCGCCTCTGGACCCTTTTGAGGGGCTGCGGGGGCCACGTTGGGGGCAGTCTTGGAGGCCACCTTCGGTTGTCGGAAGCTTGTAAAGGCGCGAGCGCGAACAGCATCGAACGACGATGGGGGAATCAGATATTCTGGCAACTTAGAGGTTCTCTTGGAGCGTCCTTGGGCGTCTTGAGAGCCTCTCGGGCTGCCCGGGGGGGGGGGCGTCTTGGGCCGTCTTGGAGACGTCTTGGGCTGTCTTGGGGTCACCATGGGGTCTCCTGGAGCCATCTTGACCGTCTTGGAGACCTCAGGCGTCGCGGGGCCTTCTTGGACGCAATCTTTGGCCATCTTGGAGGCATCGTGGAGCCATCTCGGACTGGAACGCTGACGGAAGCCATTTTTGGAAGTGGTCAGACGGTAACACTTGGGCACGCGGTCGGTGGCAGTCTGCCGATCCGGACTCCGTGCTTGGGTTGAGGGCGCGAGGCATTATGGATGCCTTTTGGGGACTGTGGGTGGCCTCTTGGGGTCGCCTCGGGGGTCTTCAGGGGAGTATTTGGGAGGCCGTGTGGGGCTATCTTGGAGGGGCTGCTTCCAGCGGGCGGGCGGTGGCGCGTTTTTGCCAGCCCCTCGTGCAACCGTCTTACAAGCGTCCCTCGTGGGCGCCTGGGAGGCCAGCTGCGGGAGGCCGTGTGCGACTGTTGCACCGCCCTGGGCGTTTCCAAGACAGGCGTCGGAAGCAAGTAGCGGGCACTCAGGTCACATCAGATTCCCCCCATGAGCAATGATGGCGTGGGATCTGATTTGCACTTCGCCGCGGTCGTCCCCCTTTCTCCCTAACTCTCAATTTAGGGGGAGGGGGGGGCGTTCCCTAATCGTGTCCACTCACCTTACGGACAACACCGCGAATGCGAACGTCATACTTGTGGCGTCGGAAGCCCAGAAAGCGGAACGCCAGAAAGGCCTTCCAATACCCTTCCGAAGGACTTTCGAAAGCTCTTGGAAGGACCTTTTGAGGAACTTTTGGAGAGATTGACAGCACACGCATTGGGAAACAATCATACAGGCCTGCCGGAACACGATGCCGGCTCAGGCAGGCCGCTACGGGGATTCCTGCCAGAAACCGAAGGGAGCTCCAAGGCTGCCCTGCGGTGCCGGCTGAAGCCCGCTTAGCCCTCAGAGAGTTATCCTGAAACAAACCCGTGCGGTATTGTCAATCAGTTGGACTTGTCGTGCCAACCCCCAGACCCCCAAGACGGCGCAACTGGCCTCTAAGATGGCTCCCCGGCGGGCTTTTGATGCAATATTGCATCCTGCCGTGCGTAAGAGAGACCTGTGGCCTGAGTGAGCTTCTCAGATGAGAAGCCTGGGCCTGGACCTGGACCACCGTCATCGAGGCCGCATTGGTGTTGGACTAACCCCTGGGCGGTGGCACGTCCGAGCGTCACCAAGCACGTGACGACGCTCAGGCGTGCCACCGCCCAGGGGCCGGTCCCGCCCCGATGTGTGCTCGGTGGCGGAGGTCCATGTTTCTCCTCTGACCTTCCAGAGGGGTCCCCCAGCACTGGCTCGTGCGCTGGACTTAGGTCCCCCGCCGCCCCATTAGGCCGCGTTCCAAAGGTCATTCTTTCTTGGGGCCATTCTTGCATAGCCGAGGCATGTTGGGAGTTTGGGTCTCGAAAGACGTTCCGAGGGCTTTGGGAGACAGCACGCGGGGAGCCCAAGAAGCGCGCAGAGCTTCCGTGAGCTGGGGACACGGGGCCCTTACATGGTGCTTACGCGTGTTGGGTCAGGGACCCCAAGGGACCCGAGGAGTCTGCATTCAGTGCCTACGGCATGGTGTAGAGTTCATGGTGCTGGCTAGGCACATC